TTCGCACTTGATAACGATGCTAAACTTAGCGTGTCGTCGTGCATATTATCGACTTTTCATTGACGCAGATTTCTGATAACGTGTTAATATTTGTATGAATGAGTACCTACTTATAATAACGAGGTAAGTGGCGTTAAATGACTATCCATCAAACATAAAATTTATTAGATCACATTCAAATAACACTGTTGTTTTTATTTGAATCCGAATTTAATCGATGCATTTTAACAAAATATAGGTATGATCGTGTAATTATTTTTTGCCGATCTACCTCGTAATCTATTGCACGCATCCACTAAATATTTAGCCCAGAAATTCCTATTTATAATAATTAAAATATGTAAATAAACGAAATTAAACCGTATACAATAGATTTTTTAGGATGAAAAATGACTAATTAGAGATCATTTGTGTCGGCGAAAACTGATCAATATTAATGAAGTATTCTTGATACTTGCAAAACTATCATAATGGTTTCTAGGTAAAAAGAACGTATGAAAAGGTGTACCTATTAATTATATCACCTGTAAGTAAGAACATACTTTATGAATATTTTATTTTATGTCTTGTTTACCGAAAGAAATACAATGAAATAAAAAGGGTGATATCAATTTGATATATAATATGTCGGATAGGTGTGAATGATTGAATGAATCTTAGAATAACTTATATTAGTTTGTGACCTTACTAATTATTACTCTTGCAATGGACATACAAACACACAATTAAGTAGATTTATCGCGATTACCGAGCACTAGATCTCGCATCCTATTCGCTTAGCGTCACATACACCTTACAAATAGAAGAAAAACGTGCCCGATGGTTGATGCTTCCCTATAATAACGGAAATAAGCTAGCTAGATTGTCAACAACTGGGTGGTGAGTCTTTATGATCCTCGACTCCATTGTTGCTTCAAGCAAGCACGCAAAGACGTGTGGTATTGCGCCTAACCTGTTTAACCTATTTTTATAAGAACCGAGGGGTCGTTCACAAGAATTACTGGCGCTGGTGGCAATGTTGTCGCCTACGATTACCACTAGGGTCAAACGACAAAAAATAATTATTATAAGATTTTCGGGCACGACCCCATTGTACTTCAATCATTTTAATCATCCATTGCAGAGAACGGGCATTCAATACTAGAAAAATAACACACAGTCAAACACCCTGCCCAGTCATACATTATTTAATTAGGACCAAAACCAATTCTGTTGCGAATTAATTTTACCCCAATGACACACATAACATAACATCACGCCTTTTTATCCCCGAAGGGGTAGGCAGAGGTGCACATTTCGGCACTTAATGCCACTGTATAATGTAACACCCACTTTTCACTTTTTATGTTATGAGTCCCATGTAATAGGGGGTAAGCCTATTGCCATATACCGGGCACATTTCCAGACTCCGTGCTACTACTGAGATTTTTAAAAACCCAGTAATACTTTGCCCGACTCGGGAATCGAACCCGAAACTCCTTGCCCGGCAGTCGCACTTGCGACCATTCGGCCAACGAGGCAGTCAACCCCAATGAATGGTTTCAAATTAATGGTTGCTTTAAAATTTTGAATCGTTTTTTACATAAGTCGTCGCGTACATTGGCGGGCTTGGCGTTCCCTACACATAAATTTTGGTTTGATATTCATACATGCGACCGACTTCGTCTGGAACAAACAATTTGTAAGTCTATGGAGGCAAATATACCGTTCTTAGAAGTTCAAAGGACATTGACATAAGATGTATTGAAAAAATATATGCGAATACTCAACTTTTGCAAACACACGTTAATAACTACTACCTAAGCTATTGTTTGTACTGTATACATTTAAAGTTAGTTTTTTGTTTCTTTTTTTGTTCTTTTTCACTATTTATAAATTAAAAACTAATTTATTATCAATTTACATTAATAAATCTACTTAATAACCGAATCTTTTGTCTAATTCTACAAATGGGAACTAAATAATGTATAATTTCTATCTATGTAGGTATATCAAAAATAAATGTGTTTTATTTATAAAGTTTGTCGCCAATCGATCAATTGTCCCAATGTACAATGTATCGTGCCCAATCAATTGATCTTTCTGATCTTGTCAATCAAGTGTTACCAGGCACAATTGAACACGATATTTTTGCCATGGCAACAATTGATGCCAATTCTAGCAACCCTTTTTTAAACATTTTCTTTTTTATGTTTTTTTTTTTATTTTTATATTTTTTTATGGTATTAAAAATACTTTTGTGACACTATTGACACGCTCCCGGCTCTTGTCGCGTAGGTTAATCCGTAGCATAAGTATGAACTAAATATTTATAAATTACGTAAAATTTATCAATGTCACTTCAGTATACAACAAACTTAATATATAGGTATATACGGGGAAAAGTGTTCAGGTATGAAGAAAAAGTATGCATAGTGTATCTATATTATACCGATGAAAAATTATTTCTATGACATTAATAAATTCTACAAAACCATCTAAACTAACTAAAAGGCAAGTCAAATGGCGATAATTATAAACTATTTATATATAGTATCGAATAACTATTACTTCTAAAAAAATGCTACGTTAATTGATTTAATGCGTACGGAAGAAAACCTAAAAAGCCTAAAAAGTAAGTGATAAAAGACAGTATAAAAACGAAATGAGCAAATGAGGTGCAGGGAAAATATTTTCTGCTACGATACATACGAAGTTGCGAAAACTACAATTACTTAATCAATAATTATTTACTACTGTTAGTGTTTAGTTAGTTCATTACTATTTAATACCCTGAACAGCGATAATCACCAGAAATTATAATTGGAGATATTGAAAGCCGATTTGAGATCCAACATTCAGACTAATGTTATTTATGTGCGTTAGGACAGGATGAAAATGTCTCTACATATAATGCGGCACTACTTAGGATATGTATTTCACGTAGATAGCAGTGCAGAGCCATAGGGTCTAGGTAGGTCATAGAGATAGGGTCAATGCACTTTGGCAAATAAGACCCCAAGACAGATAGGTAGTTATTAAAACTTGTAGGGCGGCCAAAATTGATTTCTGCGTTCTAATCCCCATTGGAACTTGAGAAAACAAGCCTCGAAACAATCGTAATAGGACAAGAAGAGATGATTGAGATCCGCGCCCTAAATGAATCCGATAGAATAAAGATCTTGGTACTTGTATTGTTATATAAATTTTTGGTGAGTTGCGCCTGATCCGAATACGCGCCTTCATCACTGTAACATGAACCATCAATGCTAATTTAGTTTCTGACTTTTATCGATTTTAATATTTTGCATTTCAAATACAGTTGCCGTTTGTATCGGGTGCAGAGCACCGAATTAATCTTTGTCTAAATCGACGTTGACGAATGGCTTTTTGACAGTGGTGCAGCGCATTATACCTGCGTGCGTCATCATTGGTTAGACATGAAGTGAGCTGCTTCGTTTTCAGATGAGGTATATTTCAAAGTATATCTGACCAAATTCGTATTCAGATAAACTGCCTCCTAGGCTAAGCACTACACTGTTAGATGAAATTCGATAACCACCACATACATATTGTCATAGATATATTGATGCAAATATTCATGACATACCTTTCATCTATGAATTGCACTTCACTCTTACTTCAGTTGTTTTCTCAACGATTCTGTACACTATGCAGGATACAAATTGAATCTTATAACTTTCCTGCTAATTCAAATTTCATCTATGAATTGCACTTCACTCTTACATCAGTTGTTTTCTAAACGATTCTGTACACTATGCAGGATACAAATTGAATCTTATAACTTTCCTGCTAATTCAAAAAATGTTTTAAAATATTTGTATTCTTTAAGTGTCCGTTCCTAGCGCCGCAAGATTTATAGTTTTGATATTTGTTTATTTATAGACATTTCCTTTAAAATTAAATTGCTTACAATAAAGATTTCTATTAGTATACAAGACCTATTCTTAAAGTATGGATATTAAAAGAGTACAAAGTTCGTGTAGTTTTCAAAAAGCTTTAAACCAAAGGCTCAACATCGTTTGGTAATATAATAACGATTTCCAAAAATGAGTAAACTTCTGTAGTTCCGTTGACTGGGTTCTGAGTCACTGCAATTGATAGCCACCATGCAACGCTCGGTGCTACAGCCGAACAAGCTTTGCAAGTGACAGCCATCAGGCGAAATCGACTACCTTGATTCAGAAATTAAATAAAACTGCTGATACGCTTAACAATTATCTTCCAAATTTTGGACAGAAGGGTTTTGAAACTCATATTTGTATGATAAAGAAGAGTAGTATCAAAAATATGCTATCCGTACTTTTGATATGACAGTCTGGTAAAGAGTGGCCCGCTTAGCAGTTTAGAAAGACCAATGTTATACCAACGTAAACGCTAGCAGTAAATGCTAGGGGCCGGAAAGTTATTCGCTTTGCGTATATAATTGTAAGGAAAAATAGAATTCGCATGAAGCTGAGGACGAATTTCTTTAAAATCCTGCGTCCCTCGTAGGTTTCGAGTAATTTTACACCAACATCCATGTAGACATGCCAAAAAGACAGTTATGAACTGTCTTATGATTTGAGAGAAAGAGTAACTTTCGCGAAATTATGGAAACTGGAAAAAAGTTAGGAAAAATTAGACCGATTAATATACAATTTTTATTACTTTGGTTTCAGCTATAATTAGAAGAATCTTACAGTAGATAATGATAGCGTAAACTTAACTCTAATGAAAAAAATCAGCAGTCAGTGTGTCCACTGCCACCGTCACCTTCTAGCTGTTGGGGCGGAGACAATCCAGCTTCACGTGATTCACGTGCTTCTGAAGAGATGGTTAATTCTGGCCGGTACCAGCCCAAAGCAGGGCGAGGGTACTCCTCGCCCTTGAGCAGGGCAGGAGAGACTCCGACTCCCCACCGTCCGCTCTCCAGATCTAAACTATACGTGCTACGTCGTACCGTCTAATCTAAGCAAATATATAACGTGTCTCAATGTCTCGACAGTAGTCGTGGGTGATTAATCAATGTTATGGAACTTGAGGATCGCCCTTCCTGTGATCTCGGAGTTACAGAGCTTCCTGACGACTTCCTGCGCCTCTTCCGCTGGGAACACCGAGTGCGGCGGCGGCTCGATCTGTTCACAATATTTACGTTTTAGATTTTCAAAACATATATTCCTGCAAACAAAAACTAGACCGGACCCTTCAACCCTAAATAGTTAGAAATATACGAAACTATTTAGGTTACCATTTACAAATTACCGAAATCTAGCTATCTTTAAACCCTAACCATCATACTTCAGAAATATTAGTGTTGCGCAATAACAGGGTGTCTGAACGACCTGATATAAGTAATTCATTTTCATTTTTATGTAAGTCAAATGAAAATCTCAGAGAATCATTTAAAGGAATTCATTAATTTCAGTTATACAATTTGAGACAAAATCCTTGACCGGCAATTGTACTCCGGATTCGAACTTGACCGTTTGTGTGAGGCGTAGTTTTTTCAATTGGCCTCGAGTCCCGACTAACGATGTGACGTCACAGTATCATTGAGATTGTATCAGATAGGTCTAACCACATCCACTGGGATGCTAACAGGATACTGTAAAATTCCGTTTTCCTTATACCTAACTTGAAGCCTGAAGGAAGAAGGGGGACCCGTTCTATTTTGGTGACGAATTAATTTTACGTGCAACAACATACTTGTTGTTTAAAGCGATGGATATAGTAGGGGAAGTGGTGTAATTTTTTTAGGGTAAACTAATAAACTCCGACAGTCAGTAAAATGGCGTAACAAAGCCAGGGAGTCAGGAGGCACGTGATTGGCGAGCAACGGTGGCCTTCGCACTCCTGGCTGTGGTTCAGACCGTGGTACAGAGCATGGGGGACTGGGATGCTGTCTCCTCTTTTTGCGAAGCAGTCATGTTAGCTGAGGAGAAGGCGGGGCACGTGAAGGAAAGAGCTTCCTTTGCCCCTGCCGCCGCGATGGATACTCCGAATTTCAGGGATCACGAGGCGATCTCCGGCCAAGCAGCCATCGTAAGCACGAGTCTGCGGATAACGAGCACGGGTAGCTCGAAAAAGAACCAGAGCTAAGCATACGGCATGTCGTGTTTCGCGCGCACCTCGAATTGATCAGAACACCACAGATGGCAGGGCGGTAGGGCTGATGCTCTATCCGGAGCTGCAGACTACTAACGGGCTACCGGGACAGGAGTAGGAATAGGGTGGTTCCTAATCAGCAAGAGATTGACACTCCTCGCCTCATCTAAGGCGGTAGAAGTAATTTGATGATTTTATGCCTTAAAAATGGAGTCACAGCACATGATAGTCACCAAAAGTAATTTGACTTTACTTAATCGTTAACATATTGCCGTTAGAAGTCACTTCGACTAGTAGATATGACGATATTTACCTACATATATCTTCTATAATATGAAAATGAATCGTTGCATGTGTTGCTAATCACAAATTTTGAGAACAGCTGACTCAATTTAGCTAATTCTTTTTATCACATCCCTGAGGACGCGGCGGTACTCAACCCATGCAGGGCACACCGACACCTTATGCAACGTGTCCTCCGGGCAGTCTGGCAGTGATGACACCCGGGCGTTTCCCCAACAGTTGAAAATTCAATCAAGAAGAAGATAAAGTTAGTAAGAATAAGAAGTTATGTTATAAGAAGAATATACTTACTCTATTGCTTTATGAATCAACAATACATTATTTTTAGACGACACTTTTTATGTATGTAAAAAGTGTGTGTATGTAAAAATCCTGTTCGATCGATGCTATAGGTACTGGAATTTAAGAGAACATGGCAATTTTAACTAACGGATACTTCGTGTGGTTTAACTTTCTTTTTAACATAACAACACGCCTTTTATCCTCAAATAGGTAGGCAGAGGTGCACATTATACCATTGTACAATGTAACACCCACTTTTCACTATTTATGAGTCCCATGTAATAGGGGGTGAGCCTATTGCCATATACCGGGCACAGTTCCAGACTCCGTGCTACTACTAAGATTTTTTTAAAAACCAGTAATACTTTGCCTGACCCGGGAATCGAACCAGAGACCACTTTACCGGCTTTCTTTTTGTGGTTTACAAATATGAAAAATTTTTTTGAAAAGAGTAACAATGGAGTTTTTCGTTGTTCTTCTCCATGCAAAACTATACTTTGGAACGAGCACCTAGTAATTCAATTTGACGTTTCAAAAGTGCCTAATGTAGGATTAATTGAAATAAATGCTTTGACTTTGACTATAAATTGTATTTGTAGTCCAATTCATACTATTCCAAATAAAAAAAATATGCGCGGTAATCAAAGGTTTCTTGCCTAAGATAAAGACGTTTAAATAATAAATATTATTAGAAATTTAATGATTGAGTATTGTATCTATTTACTAGCGGCGCTCCCGGCCTGGGTGTAATTTCCCTACTATATGATTTATACTATATTTCCATACAGTTCGGGTCTTATGCGATTACCAACATACATTCCCGTAATTTTCATTTATATAGAGGTAGATGTAAAAAATGGACATCTAGATTTTTCCTTCTAGAATAATAAAAATGAATATGAAGAATCTCTTCATATTTAGGTAATATTGTACGTCGCAGCATAGACATTATTTTTATGTGCATACTATTAAGAAACAATCGAATCAATTAGGCGTAAATATAATTCGACAATTGAACTTACTTACCTATACTAAAATAGACTGGCAATAAATTACATTGTTCAATCAACACAGTCAATAATTCTTTGACGTTTTATGCTGAGACATTGAAATCAAATTATTTATATAATAAATAATTTGGACTAATACTAACAGGACAGGTAAATGAAAAAGTACAAAATTTCGCACTGAACGGACCAACAAAAAATAAAAACAGACGACAAAACCTATTAAATAAATAAAAAGAAATTACAGAAGCAAAGCAAAATAAATTAATGTAGGTACAGTTAGAAGTGAAAATTTAAAATAAAAAAAGAACATCAAAGAAACAGGATACAAGACTTATAAAAAAAACTCACATAAAATGTTTCACCAGAGGTTTACGAGGAGACAGAGCAGAGAGAGATCTGCATGGAAACACTGAAGCGGCTGCACTGACAACATGCACCGTGGACAGTGAAATATATCATGATCGGTAGCTAACACTGCAATTGGATAAATTGGTCTAAATTGGACCTTGCATTGAGGGACAGAATCGCCGAATTGCCCCCTTGTGAATCAATCAATGCAGTGTATAAGCCCCTGTACACAATTGCAAATGGAAAAGGATTATCGCACATAAAATGCGAACATTTAATATTTTTTGCTAGCAGAAAATTGATGAAACTGACGTTTCGTAGCAAATGAGAGACCTTTCAGCTTCTAATCGAATAACAAATATGAAACAAAGGTTTCTAAAATGAAAATCGGCTAAAGGTTTATCATTAAACTCCGTCCGAACTTCAGCTAGTCATTCAGTCTCTTTAACCTATCAAACAGACCAGAACTAAACAAAATACAGGAAAAAATGTAACATAGATGGATGTGGTTATATTATTTCATACTCACTTCTCCCCCAGATACCAGATTCACCAGTTCTTTGAGCTGTTCTATAGATCCGTTGGGAACAATTTCTATGTGCACGTTCATCTCCTCAGCTTTCTTTGCGAACTTGGGCAAAAGCTTTTCTCCTACATCTTCAGTCACAAGAACCACACCACCCTACGGGAATACAGTCAGATTAGTAAAATATTGTGATCCTGGCAGACAGCTATCATAACGGTTACAAGCTTGATAACAATATGTAGAATAGTAAACCCATGTTGTTTTCACTGATAGCACTTATATTGTTATTAATAACTTTAGGTAGCTTATGTGATCATGATAGCGATAACTGCTTCGTTAAAATAATATTGGGCGCTGAAAGTTAATAAACAACGTCACGTCACAATTTCTTAGATAGCAATAACAATCATAATCACAGTCCACAGAGCAGTTTGGAAAAGGTTTTGACAACACATACCACAGCAAGACACTGCAAAGATCTGTGGAGTGATCTTGAAGTGGTACCGAAGTTAAGCACCACGTCCACAGGTCCACCACATGCATCTGTAGTCCTCTCTATGAGTTGCTTTTCATACGCGTCTTCGTTCCACTGCACTACTTTTACCCTGAATAAAGAACAACCATAATTTGAAGACAACCGTTGATTTCTTAAGAGTATTGTATTATATAGCTTAGCAGTTTAGTGTAGCTACGACACTCATAATTATAAAACGGCGATACAATTTGTATCTACGTGAATAAGGATGGAAGTAGAATCGTCACAATATGAAAACGTTTTATAACTTTTACACGTGCATCAAATTTCAAAAAATTTGAATCTGCATGTTTTCCATGGGTAACAATATTTATAGCGATCGGTTAGCAACGCAGTGAATGAAGAGCTCAAGATATTTATTGTGTTTAGCGAGTTGAGTATTGAATAGAGAGTTCGCGACTGCGATCGGACCACAAGCTAATTATCTAATAAAACCAATCTGGCTCAGCCGATCCAGCTATTGTGCACTGACAATGCAGTTTGCATCGAGATTATTTCTTTCCGCTCATCCTTAAGTGGTCAGACATCTTTGACACTAGTTACCGTGCGAAAATTTATCGTGGTTCGCCTTATACAAAACGGACAATAAAGAGGAAAATCTTCTTTTGCGTGTATTAGACGGCGGATTAAGCAACTGGTAAGAAAGAAGCATGTGACGAACTCACTCTTTTCATCGTAAATTTTTTAAATATCTAAATTATTCCTCACGAATCTGTACCTTCTAGACACTGAATGGGCTCTATACTATCATGACATATTGTACCATTGACGACGACAATTCAATCAGTGCACATCGGACGGAAGATCGTCCTCAGTAACCTTGTGTAAATACTGATATAAATATTTAGATGCCATAATTACGTCGTAAAACGAGAAGTGAAGTCTGGCAGATAAAAGAAAATAAAGTAAACAGAGAGTAATACTTACTCTTCACATTCCTTCGCCAAAATAAATCCTTCGTCTTTGAGGGTAGCCACGCATATCCTGATGCGATTGTTATACGAAGCATGTTTAAAGTAATGTGTGGCAATGCGCAACGCCCACAACGCCAACCCCCCCGTTCCAACAATCAACACCGTCGTGCTCTCCTTTTTCGCTGGTCCATCCAATACCTTTTTCAAACACACTCCAGCTGTAGCCACTGTATTCGTGGCTAATAAGGCACCAGTGGGAAGCATGGCGGCCACACTCAGAGGCAATTGATCAGGTATGGGTACTAAACATTTAAAATCTGGTACGACGATGTATTCCGCATATCCATTAGGTACACCTTCGTAAGGATACAAAACAATTCTAGACCCTTCTTTGATTCCTTCTAATCTTTCCGCAGCTTTGCCAATGGCATCTACCACACCTGCTACTTCGTAACCAGGAAACAGAGCGCCGTCTCTTAGACCGATATGGGCAGGAGTGGCATGAGTGTGGATACCGAAGTTCTCCATTTCTCCCGAGAGGCTGCCTATGGAAGATATGGAGGAAGTGCTGCAGACTGAAGCAGAGCGAGTTTTGTTCGCTCTGTAGCAGGCTCCGGCGTACACCACTCGGATCCTTGCGCCGTACATAGGAACGTCAGGGACAGGTACGTCAAAACTGAACACACATTCCCTGAGAGTCGGCCCGGGGGACTCAATGGACACTTGTCTGCACAGTTTACTCATTTTGATAACTGTGGACAAATAATAATAATAATAATAATAAATAATCTTTATTGTACACCAATTTGAGACAGTACATCAAGGAACAAATAAAGAAAATAGGGTACAAAGGCGGCCTTATCGCTAAAAGCGATATCTACCAGGCAACCTTTGGGTGGATAGAATAATAAAGTAGGATATTAAATGAGGTAGTTATAGCTTGGCGTACTCAGTGCTTATTTATATAATGTAAAAGAGTAAACATTAAAAAAAAACAAATTTATTTACTTTTAATATAGAATTATATACATACATACACACACATACATACATACATACATACATACATACATACATACATACATACCTACATACCTACATACATTCATACATATACTAATACATACATAAGTACATTTAGAAACAAGATACAATGACAGATAGGTGACACTAGGTGAAGAAACAACAATGAACTACAGTGTGGAGAGATAATGCTCCCTCACGCGTGCCTTGAACGTGACCAGTGACTTTGCTTGTTTTATGGAAGGGGGAAGTGCATTCCACAGTCGAATAGCTCGAACTGTAAACGATTTGTCGTAGGATTTACTCTCATGCTGGGGCATCTCAAGTCTCAGATCTCCCGACGACCGTACTGGTCTAAAATGTGTGTCATGGTAGAACTTGAAACGTTCTTTAAGGTAATATGGCGTAGTAGGATTAAACAGTATATTGTAGAGAAGGGATAGGATATGAGTATTCCGGCGAAGGCGGATCGGCAGCCACTTGAGTTTAGCTCGGTATTCGGAAACGTGGTCATATTTTCGTAAGCCAAATATAAACCTTATACAGAAATTTTGGAGTCGCTCAAGTTTATCTAACTGCGCTTCAGTAAGGTCTGGATAGCTGACGTCGGCATAATCAAGAATGGGAAGGAGAAGTGATTGAGCAAGCGCAATTTTGGTAGCGGTTGGTAGAAAGTTTCGAAGTCTACGTAAAGACTTGGCTGACGCAAATATTTTCCGGCTGACCTGCCCCAGTTGCGGTCCCCAAGAAAAGTCTCGATCTATGGTAATGCCTAGATCTTTCACTGAGTCGCTGTATGGTATTATGGTGTACCGTTAAAAACAATAGGTGGAATCTGCGACCATGTAATTTTGCAACGTAACCGAGGGCTACCGACTACAATGACCTGGGTCTTCGCAGGGTTAACCTTTAAACCGTAAGCCGCGCTCCATTCTGAGATTCGAGCTAAGTCGGTATTCACCATTTTTACCGCCTCGGTGAATTCACCAGGAGGTGCCTGAGAGTAAATTTGCAGATCGTCAGCATACAAGTGGTAGGAAGAAAGAAGTTCATCAGAGATAGAATTTATAAAAATAGCAAAGAGTAGAGGAGAAAGAACGCCCCCCTGCGGTACGCCAGCAGTCGTATCAGACCAGGAGAGTATGAACCTTCAATGGCAACACGCTGCCGGCGGCCAGACAGGTAACTACGAAAGAAATCAATCACAGCCGGCGATATGTTAAGAGAGCCCAGTATTCCAAGTAAGATATCGAAATCAACGGTGTTGAATGCATTGCTAAAATCTAGCAAGGTAAGCAGAGTTAGATTGCCGTTTTCGATACCCGATCGTATGTCGTCTGTGATGTTGACAAGTGCTGTAGTGGTACTATGCCCCGGACGGAACCCTGATTGGTAAGGATTGAGGAGACTGTGTTTGGTGAGGAAAGCACTTAGCTGGTTATAGATGAGGCGTTCCAGGACTTTAGAGAGGAAGGGTAAAATGGAAATAGGACGGTAATCGGAAAAGGTGTCTGGGTTTGGTTTTTTGGGAAGAGGAGTGATTTGTGCGTCCTTCCATGCAGAAGGAAAAATGCAGCTAGATAAGGAATAGTTAAGGATATGGCAAATGACAGGAAGGATTTCGTCCAGGACAGGGAGTATCATCTTACGGCTAACACAATCACTCCCCACCGCATTGGAACTAATGGAAACTATACTCTTCCTAACATCACAAGCTGTGAGTTGATTAAAGGAAAATTGTGAATAGTTGGGAGAAGGAAGAGAAGAAAGATAGCTTAAAGTTTTAGTTTTGATAAACCCATTAATATTGGGCGAAGAGGAAAAGTGTTTATTAAGAGATTCAAAGTCCAGGTTTCTAGTAATCCCGTCCCGACGCAGTTTCCCAACTCCCATGGATCTTAGGAATGTCCAGATCTTGGCTGCGTCGCCATTCTCTACAGATTGATGAATGTGGCGGCGTTGTGCATCCCTACACATCTTGTTGCTACGATTTCGAGCTGCAACATACTTCTCGCGGTTCACAGGATTAGGTAGGCGTTTAAATTTGGATTTCGCAGCTGCTTTCCTGTGAATTACAACCCTGATCTCTTCTGTCAGCCACGGCGCTGGTACATGTTTTATTTTAACTGGCCGTATCGGGGCATGGATGTCATACAGTTCAATGAGTTTTTTATTAAACATGCTGATTTTGTCATCAGTCCCCACGGCAGCAAAAAGTTCAGACCAGTCAATGCCGCCGGCATCCTCACGAAGCCTCTCAAGATCCATACCACCAAAATTGCGCTGAAAGAATGTTTTGGGTTTAGATTTCGGAGGACAGACTTTGTACGAGAGGAAGATAAGATCATGGTAGGAAAAGTTGTCAGCAGAACATTGTCCGTGCTTGACAACGTGCTGGTCAGACGACACAAGGATAAGGTCAAGAAGAGAAGGTGAACAATTAGGAAAGTGGTGAGTGGCGCTCAGGGGAAGAAGAGATAAGTTTAGGGATTGAGCAATAGATTGAAGTGAAGAGGAGCGTGTGTCGTGTTTTAGGAGACAGGTGTTGAAGTCCCCCATTATTATGGTATGACTGTAAGAGGGAGTTAGGTTCAGCAGTAGATTTTCAAGAGAGGAAAAGTAATCAGTACGTAAGGAAGGACAATAATAGACACCAAGCAATACTCTGGAATGACACAAACTTAATTCCAGGAAAAGATGCTCGCCAGCGTTCTGCGGCGGGGGCTGCGGTGACACATCAATTATTTTAAAGGAGATGTTAGAACGTAGATATATGGCAACACCACCACCACCGCAGTTCGTGCGATCATTTCGTATCAGTTGGTATCCAGGTAGAGAGTAGGAAGTAGAAGGAAGGCATGGCTTTAACCATGATTCGGAAACAAGTATGGCGTGGATGTTGTTACAGTCAAGATCTGTCAGCATATCGTGGTAATGAGCTGGAATACTCTGTGCATTAATATGGACTACATTAAGATTCTTCGGTACATCAGAGAAATGGGACTCAAGTGCATCAGCAAGAGATGGGAGATTGGAACTGATAAGACTGTCACTGCCACTAATTGCAGAAAGAAAAGTGTCATCATCACTCTGCACGTCACTTTCACTATCAAACATAATAAAAAAAAAAAAAAAAATAATAATAAATAAATAAATAAATAAAATGAATAGGTAATAATATTAAAAAAAAAAATATATAAGCTAATTATAATAAAGAAAAATAAAAGTATGATAATTTATCGAACAAAGATAAATATCATATCCACCTGCCAGTTGCGTGTTACAAATAATGTCAAGACGCTTACCTTCACAAATCAGCAAAAAAAAAAACATAACAAAACAATGTCTCGCCCGGGTAAAAATCCAAGAAGTACATATTTGAAAATATAAATACCAGCCATAGTTAATAGATATCATTATAGAAATACAAATAAAAATTACAAGAATTTATGATAGATAGGAAATCGTTGGTATGTGAATTGTCTATGGTCTCATAGTCAACATATACCCGATTTGAAACGTGGAACGCAACCAATAACTAACTAAAATAAAACAAACTTGTTAAAATTATTCACATACATAGTAACAATAAATCAAGATTAGTCAACAGCAACACGTCAATAACACTCATAAGTGTCAGGCACTTAAAACTGCCCATACCTACCCGAACACGTAAGTTTTCAAATTGAAATAACTATCTAGAATTAATATTTATTACACAACTAGTAATTATCCCGCTACGTCCGCTCGAGCCGAGAACGAATACAGATCTGAAGTTAGGAAAAGTCACTATCTTTTCGTAAACAAATCGATACAAGAGATAACAAAAACAGTAGCCAAAGAGTCATTTTAAACAACAATGAAAAGTGTAAACAAGAAAATTTATTCCTCAATGGCAGAACACAGACTTCCTTTAGATTTAGATATGTTTAAAAAGTGCTTGTTTGTACAAAAAAGAGCTTTTCATTATACTTTTGTAAACTCTTGTTGTACTAAAGTAGACAATTTTATTATTATCTTACACGCGCTAGTTATCTGTTAAGTGTTAATCCATTGATCTGACTAGAGGTCATATGCTCAGCCTCTTTTTCAATAGATCAGATTTTTGTTCCTCGTGGAGAATTGGCTGTGCAAATCCCATTGTGAGCCATTGTCTGTTTGACAGACGAGAGAAGGATGTAATGTGAAGTATACCTTTCTCTTATTATGCATGTTTCTCCTAGTGGAAGGGGAAGGTATTCTACACTGTCTACGAGTAATTTTTAAGATTAAAGGATATAAATCACGTTATTGAATGTATAATTATGGTTTTCCTATTTTAGGTAACTATGTTGTAAATTTATTAGGTACATTTCATATTGAGGCACACTTTTTTACTGTTTTATTATAATTATGTTAAATATTATGAAATGTGTAGGTACTTTTCAATATTATTGTGTACTTAGGTACATACTTATTTATGTTAAGTACTAACAGTTTATTCATAACATTTTACTATAACGATGGACATGTTTATTTCCATTCGTTAACTCGTGATAAGTTAATAGGTGATTAAATAATAATCATTGCTCTTTCACGAACATCTCACAAAGGAGACCAAGATGCGTGAAGGTAATTAATAGTACACGTGACAACGCGTGGCTTATAACGTACATCGCCCATACATTCATTGCGAAGATCAGGTTCCTTAGATCCTTGTACTGACGGGTTGTGGCATTGGC